AAGTCATTTAGAACGTTTTAGAGCCAAAACAGTAGTGTATAGGATAAGAACTCATGCTCTTCCTCAACACTGAAGTCCTCAGACATTTTTCTTTCGTTGTTTCTTTCTTTGCACAGGTAAACAGCACATTTCTTCTTCTACGCTTGCATTATCGGCAGAGCAGACGCTGAATGCGCCTACTATACAGGATATACTGCTCAAAAAAGGAAAACAATATAATAATCCTTGATATTTTGGTATGACTGAAAATTAGGTTGATTTCTTTGCTGTAGCATTCATTTATAGAATTTCTCACTTTTTCTAGAGTTTTTTAGGGAATCATCTTTTTTTCTTAAAGGTATTGTGGAGGATTTTTGTGAATTTAGACCTGACCTTTCCACCTTAAAAAGAAATGCAATTGCACAACCCTTTACCCGTTTCTGAGGGGGAACGCCTATTCAATGTGTGCGAGAGCATGCCTGTTTCTCCTCGTGCACGCTCTGTTTAAAAGTTGCTGTTCTCTAAGCTCATACAAGTTTACCGTGCCCAAATGTCCGCTCGCTAAATCCCTCTATCACTATAGACAGAAGGGACTATATAGTGGAATTTATAGTGAATAGGTTAACTTACAGTTCGGACAGATGATCAATGCTTTTTTCTCCCCTTTGGTCGCGTAACTCCTCCGTCGCGCAGTGACTGCGCCATCTTTGTTACTAGTTGCTGCTGTGATTTCAAATCCCATAATGCTTTGCGAGGAGAGCTCTTTCCGCGCAAAGCATTCCTGGATATACCTGCCTCTTCTGAGGCCCTTCTTCTCATAAATTACTTCATAGAAACTTTTTCTCTTTCGAGAAAAATAACTTTGGTGGAAAAAGGCGAGCTTCAATGACTGACTGAAACCGTAGCTCACCACAGATATATGCCTAAAAGTGTGCATGTGCAGAAAAAGGTGGCTAATGGGTTGAGCATGTAGGACAGCCTTACGTAAACATATCACCAGAATGACTGACAATTAGGAGGACCAGTTATTTAAATGATCCACCCGGAAATAAAAGATCATCCTTTAATTCGAATAACACCTTTGATGTCATTTTGCTTGTAAAGCACAGCAAATTAATACAATAAATTGTTTTTGTAAAACCCCATTGACTAGGACACATTTTAATTATAACAAGCATTAAAAACTTTTATATTAAACAATTATTCCTTTATGCCAAATTTCTTAAAACAATTTTAAAGATATTTGTTGTTGCAAAAATGCCATTTTTTCTTTTTCGAAGAAATTAATTTCCAAAACTCTTTTAAAACTAAGTCTGTTATGTGTTGCAGAAAACTGGTTTGTTCTTTTAGTTCAGGCGTATTTTTCATCTAAATATCGCAAAAATAAAATTCAAGTTGCCTAAGTAATAAACAAATAACCAATACAGATACTTAAATAGAAAAAAATCAGCCATTGTCTAAAAAAATCTTATAGCATTTTGCTAGCATACTGCAGCGGTGAAGATTTAATCACCACAGCATGCTTAATGGCACTATAGGCTGGTGTATTTAACTTCCAGCCTGAGATGATGACCACTGGATATGATAAAAGATTGTTACACTATAGATAAAAGTAACTTTTCCTAACAAAGTAACACATTTTACCATTTACATAAAAACTATTCAGCCTAATACTTAATATATCTTTAACAATAGATTATACACCAAACTGAAAAGGTATTGAGCTGTTTACTGTTGGTGGTAGCCTAATATTAAAACATTAAAGTTATTGAGGATGATAATTTATTAAATGGTAGAATTAGAGAAGGGTTAGTTGGTACAGTCAATAACTGAAGTTATCCAAACTTTATTTGTCCTTCAGATTAGGACAACTTATTCTAAAGGACTCCTCAGAGAGTAAAACATAACACCACTAGAATGTGGAGCAGTAGAGACATATTCTCTGTGGTGATCAATTAGTCTTAATCTCTGTCTATGTAAGGATTGTGTCAGTTTTAAAGTTAGGTGCTGAGGAGAATAACAGTGTTAATAAGTTTCAAGGCAAATGATCCAATACTTTTGGCAACAGGGTGTTCTTTTTTTTTAGTGGGTAATAAGACTCAGAGTCTCACAAAATGAGCATAAAGAAAGAAAAGAGACTTCAAAAGAAATCTGGGTGTTTGAATCAATACCTTGAAATTCAGTCTTGAGCAAGAATCTTTAAAAAATTTATTTTAATAATTTTTTTTTAAATTGCTCTACAAAAAGGCTTCTTGGCCCTACCAGTGCTTATCACATCTTAGGAGCTATACTCTACTCTATTCCTCATGTTTTCCTAATGTTGCTGTTTAAAACCAGCGATCAGATATGCATGCCCTTTTTAGAACTTAATATTTTATTAAGAATAATCCATATTAATATTTCACATTTAGTCCACCTTCTGTCATGCAGAAACTCCCCCAGTTACAACTCAGAAACAAACTTGCAGGGACTAGTTGATCGGAGCAGAAAGTGTAAACAGGCCTGCACAGAAAGATGGTCAATGATAAGCCGCTAAGAACCCTGACTTAGAACCCTTACTGTGCAGAAAATGTTTCTCTCATTTCACTGGCAAGCTTGAGCAAAAAAACGAACCAGTGTACTGACTTATTCATCATTCCTTTTGAGTCAGACATGTTTCATAGCTTTGCGATATCCTCCTGAAGCAGTTTTTAGATCAACCTCAGACATTTTGATAGATGTCGTCAGTAGTTATGATACCATCCTCACTTGCTGCCTGAAAGACATTAAGAGTTGTTGTTCTTTACTTAATGCAACAGCAGAAGTAAATGCAATCTATTTGTTGAGAAACTGCGAACCCAAAGTGCTGCAACATATTATACCTCAACTTGGGAGTTGTTTCCTCTTGTACTTGGTTTCCTTTTGCTCAGGTTCACCCTGCTGTGGAGTTCTTGCACCACGTCTCTGAACTGTGTTTTCTTCTTTAAGCTATTCTGTTGGAAATTGTTCAGAATGAACAATAAATCAGATATTCAGTATTTGGAAAGTGTTACTATTATGGTGTTTGTGACACCTTGTCTGAACAGGAATTTGCAGCCCCTGTATTTCAGTTTCCTCTTTTTGCTCTTAAGGGCTTTAACCCCTGTTAGAAAGCAGCTAACACCACAGAATAGAGAAAAAAAGAAACACTTAAATTACCGTTTCGGTTTTAGATGTCCTTTTGCAAAATTTCAGGTTAAAGCCTTGCTGAAATAGAAAAAATGAAGTTTATTGCAACCTTTTTTGTCTTGCTCTGTATGCATGATCACTTCACACATATTCATAATTTACCTTCCTTACAACAATAAGTGTCACTATAGACACGCAATAGATGGCCAGGAGGGTAAATGAGAACCACAGAAGAAATTTTTTCACCATTGCTGTGACCGATGCTGAAACATAAAAAAAACTTGTTTATCTTATTCATATCAGCAGAAACACTGTGAGATATTTCTTATTTTCCAAGTTACTCTCCCCTTACCTTCCACTATCAGAGTTGTTCCCTCACATACAAATGGCAGGTCGCAGTCCCCTGTTCCTTCTTTTGTTGCAGCGCATAGGTAGATCCCAGTGTCGCTGACATTAAGAGAATTAATTTCTAAAGAGCCTCCATTCCGATTGTACTTTGCATTACGTATAAGAAGCTGGTGAGAACCTTCTTTAACAAAAAACCATTCAAACTTTAGGCTTTCAGGTGATTTTTTTGGCTTAACACAACAACTTAAAACAGCTTTTTGTCCTGCAGTTTTCCATATTTCCTTCGTCGATGGAGAAAAGCAGCTGTCTGATTTTTGTGTGCTTCCTAGAATATAGACCAGTAAATAGCCTTTGATTAGTCTTTCAGAACAGATGCAGAATTGCTGCCAAACTAACGTTTTTTTTTTAATGGATTGCCAAGCTACTAATTTGAAAATGTGAATCAGTATGTATGTTGTTAACCCAAAAAGTGCCCATTTCTTACCTGTATCGACCAGATGAACTAGCAGGAGAGGCAGCCAAACCAGAGGCTTCATGTCGGTAGCTTAACAGCTTGTGAGTGATCTTATGATTTCCTGTCTGAGGTGATGATAAATGACTGACAACATGGGAAGAAGATTGTACTGAACTTCCTCAATGCTAACTTCCTTATTTTCCTCTACATAACAAATGAATGCTGACATCTTAAGTTAACTTGTAGATCCATTAATGAGCACCAAAAAATATTCACACCCAATTTCAGTTTGTCATTTTCCAATGTTACAACCACTAATTCAAAGAATTGTATTTGAATTTCAGATGTGGATACAAAAGTATACAAAAATCTTAAAGTAAGAGTAGCACATTTTTTACTCAAGTAGAAATTGAAAGTACAATACAATACAAGTAAGGACTTGTACAAGTAAGTCCCAAGTCCCTCAATACAAGTAAATACTCAAGTAAAAGTAATGAAGTACCTGGTAAACTGGCGACTTAAGTACTGAGTAAGAGTTGGCATGTAAAATCTGATTTAATGTTTGAACTTATGTAAGCACACAGAGGTATATGGAGATTCTGGTATTTTAGAATATACCATAAAGATACTTATAAATTACGTGATTGCAAAAAAACAAATTAGGGAGAAGAAACTATTTTTCAAATCTTTTTTTTACCATCATATCTACTGAGTACAGTAAATAACACCTACTCCTAAAAGCTTTTTTTTTAAGTACAGTAATTGTTAAACTTTATAGGAATTACCAATATGAAACACTGGATAAATGTGGATGGGAAGGAGCCGGTACATTCTTTGCTTACTTTCTTTTAAAAGTGCACCGTGCATATTTATTCATCTTTATAAGAAAATAGTTTGCAGAATCACCATTTGGTGCAATCACAATGACGTGGTCTGTTGCCTGTTATGTATAAGCTTTGTATGTTGAAAGGTTGAATATTTTGCCAATTTTTTTATGTGAAATCATTCAAGCTCTGTCCGATTGTTTGGAGAGGGTCCGTTAACAGCATTTTTAAAGAACTGTGCAGATTTCCTGTTGAATAAGGGTTGACTGGTTCATTCTAACACATTTTAGACGTAGACAAAGTTTATTGTAATCTTGTATATATAGAGTGTTTACAAAATGAAATCTTGATGCATACAGATTTTCAACAGTGAGTGAGCAGCTTACATCAGTGAAATGAACATTTCCATTTATAAAGTGCAAGAGTGATCAAGAATGTCATAGTTTTCAGCATACTAGGCGGAATATTTTGAAGAAATTCTTGCAGATTGTCAAAGGGCAGTAGCAGTCGTTGCCTTTACAGTGCAGCCTTCTTGGAGAAAAGCCTACCTTGTTAAAGGTAAGGATCTTCACAGCATGATTATTTTATTTTCCAGCAAGATATTTCGTGATGAGCATAGTTTATTCGTATTACTCTGCAGTGAAAGTTTTTCACCTCTTTGTATTTTTAAATAAAGTCAAAAGAATAATTTCATCTGACAAGGGTACTGTCTTCTACTTATGTGTATTTGTCTCCTCATCCTTTTTATCAACTCTACATCTTTAATTTCCTTGCTAAAGAAAAACATTTTCATGGGGCAATAATACTACCATGTTTCAGTATGGGCATTTTATGTTTAAATGATTTGCTGTGTAGGGTTTTCTATGCACTTTTTCATTTTGCATCTAGTAAGTTCCACAGGACCTTCTTACACATATTTGTTGTGACCACTGCATGGCTTGTTACTGCCAACCATTTTAATGGCTTTCTTTAAAAATGTCATCTCTCTTTTCACTCATCCATAAATAAAATATATCTAATATTAACCTGGAGTTGTCCTTTGGTCAGACTCTTCTGTATTGTTGACCTCGACTCTCTTCAGGACTTACTATGAGCTGCTGGCATACCTTTATGATAAATGCTGTCCTTGTTTGTTTTGTCAGTTTAAGTAAACTTCCTTGTCCATGGTTGTACAGAGAATATTTTTATATATCAGTAGACTGTTTTATTTATAAGTGCCTTCTAAGACACTTGGTTGTATTAATTTCACTTGATTTTATTCTGGTGTATTTGAGTAAAAGGTGGCTCTTGTAAATAAATGCCACAGCCTTTAGATATTTATTTGTAAAAAAAAAAAAAACAACATGAAAATTTTCTTTTATTCTTCAAAATAATAACCTTATGCAAAAACGTTCTTGTTCTCAAAAGAGTGGAAAAATGAGCAAAAATGTGAATTTGCTTTGAAAAAAGCATTTAGTGCTGTCAGAGTTCACAAATTGTAAGGTTTAATAGCATACTGGAAGAGGGATTTTATTTTACTGACTGCTTCTGCAGTCTAGTTGCACTCCATTTTCAAACATGCTATAATGCTTGTGCGTTGTGTGGAGAGGTTTTAGATAATTTGTTTAAAAGAATAATAATTCTAATTTACTTGTACTCATCGTCTTCTGCTTTTCCGGGACCGAGGGAAGCAGTCGCAGCAGAGACTCCTAGACTTCCCACTACCCAGATACCTCTTCCAGCTCTAATTGAGGAAGCCTGGGTCGCTCCCAGGCCAGCCGAGAGGCATAGCCCCTCCAGTATGTCCTTGTGTCATTTTCTTTTTCCACGTGGATCTCGCTCTTTTTTGCCTTTTCATGTCCCTCCATTGTCACACAAACTTTCCCCTTGCGTTTTTCCACTTCCTCACCGCCTCGGTAGTATCCAGACCCACAACTACTTTGTGATTGTCCCTCTTGCGTTTTGGCGTGGAATACCATAGTGCAGACCACGCTTCAAAATTGGGCATACATAAAAAATATCTGCGTCATACCTGCAACAATCTCACTGCGACACACTGCTGCATGAGTAGAACCTGCCCTTAAGGGTGTGCTCTGTCACCCTGCAGCTTGTGATCTGGGTCATGTTCCAGATATCATGTCCATAAGTGAGGGTAAAATCGTAGACTGACAGGTAAATTGAGAGCTTAACCATTTTGCTCATCTCTCTCTTCACTATAACTGTCCTTATTATAGCAACAGATCTGTCCATTAATCCCCCACTCCATTGCTGACTTAATGATGAATAACTATGCTATAATACTGCTACTAATTATAGTTTACTGTCAACTCAAAATAGCAAGGTTAGTACAATTATGTTTAGATGATTTTTTTCTTAATACAATTTTAGGTACTTTGAAATAAATTAAGAAAGTTAAATCTCTATATACCATATTTACTATCATGCAAAAATCATTTTCGAGTACATAAATACTTGCCTTCACTTGTTGTCCCTCTCCTCAAAGTTCCCTCCTCTGGACCGTTCAATTTCTTTAGGCGGGGGGGATCCGTGACGCCAATCACGTTTTTGCCCAATCACCGGCGGTGTTTTCGTTATCAGCCCGCCCCCTTCCACGTCGACCTGCACCTTCGCCATATTTTCGACCCTCAGATCCCGCAGATTTGTGTCCCCCTCCAAGTAACCAGGATAACCTTTAGAGGGTACCAGGACGGGTCCATCTGTGCCGGAATAAACAGCCCATCCTTCTCTAGTTTAGCAGCTGGGTTTGCTTGTATTTCCGCTCTGCAACAATGAACATCTTCAGACTGACAGGAGACCTCTCTCATCTGGCTGCTATCATCATCCTGCTGCTAAAGATATGGAAAACAAGGTCTTGTGCCGGTGAGCATGGGGTTTTATTATCGTTATACATCACAGTATGATGTTACTGCTTATATTATTTGTGTCTTCAGGCCAAAATGTATGTTTTTGAGCATTGATCAGCAGGCTTCTCTCAGCTAGCTAACATGCTAACGGTGCTGCTCATTCATTTAAGCTAAATTGAGAGCTAACTGTTAGTAGATAAAGACTGCTGTTTGAAATTAAATACCTTCACAAAACAGCTCACATAATGCCTTGGTTTCTGTTCGTTTAAAGACAGATATTAAAGCTCGGTCAATGTTTGGTGTTGTAACGTATTATCAGTGCTATTTGCTGAGGTTTCAATAATGGTTTGATCTCCTGAGAGCTGTGGACCGTTAGGTCTCTGTTGGTTTTTTAAATATGTTTATTTATTTATTATTTTTAGGTTAAGTAAAAATAATTTTTTAATAGAAACTTCCTAAGTTCCAGCAGGTGGGTTTGCCAGCTCTACACCCCCAGACATCCTGCTTTGAGGTTTGGGGATTGATTTTTTTGGTCTGCTCTCTGACGTGGCGCTCCAGGAGAAGCTAGGGAAGTTAGCAACACAAAAAAAAGTTAGCAAGGAGCTAGAGCTTTCTTTTTAAATTTACCCAACACAAGCATTTCTTGTTGTTTTGTTTTCTTTGTAAATGTCTTGTAAAGACTATATAGAGTCATAAAAAAGAGGCAAAATTGTTAACATTGGAACTACTCTGAATCCTTTAGGACTTTATTATAACTGTACTTAGAAATCTAATTCAATAAACTGAATCTATTATTTGTAGTTTAATGTAAAATAAACAAGCAAATAAATATGTTTTTTTTGTTTCAAATTTATAGTTTTTATGATTTTTAACATCTGCAATAATATCAAGTGCTATTTTTTTTTTTTTATTAAGAGTTAAAGACATATCTTTCAGAATAGTTACAGACTTTTCTATATGAAATGTTTGTTTACAATTTAACATGTGAGACTTTCTGTTGTCTCATTTTTCTCAATTTAAACAAAAAAATTTTTGTTTAGATGTATGCTGCAAAATGATTGGATTGTATGTCCTGATACAATTATTTCATTTAAAATATGATGCATTATTACAGTTTTGAGTATTGACCCAATGACATATCAACATAAGTTATGTCAATATTCTATTGATATAACTTAAAGCACAACAATCAGCAATTGTAGATATGTGAATAGTTGAGCCATAGTGTTTATTGCAATGTTGCGCTCCTATTTGGCAAATAGAAGTGCAACGTTACAAAAGTATTTACTATTGCCCCTTATAAACATGATGAGGCTAAAGAAACTGATGGTCACAGAGAAAGATGAATGCAAAAATGAAGAAGGGGAAAGTCATAATTCAATTTAACAATATTACCATGAAATGACTTTAATGTAAACATTTATTTTAGGGTTTAATTACTAACTTGTATTTGTTAAAGCTCTGTCTTTTACCCTCAATCGTGCCTTCAGTTTGT